CTGGGTGATAATGATTTCGTCAAGATGCTAGGACTCCAGCTGGTGGGGATGATCACTGCCAACCTTCACAAGATACAGCACATCATCCTGGACACCTGCATTCTGTGGACAAGATTGTTACCAAGGAGGTTTGGCAAGGGACCAGGAGTGAAATGGCCACTAATGTGGCTCGTCATTTTGTCAACAGGGACATAATGCAGAACCTGGTCTGGGCAGGGGGCAATGTGGTTCCTCACCATAGGATCCATGGGGAATTGACTCACTTGTTCAGGGGTGATGGGATCCATCTCTTCATGGAGGGGTGTGACATTTATTTAGAGTCTGTTGCCCAGCACATACAAAGCTACATTCAGGGGACAGAGATGGGGGAGAGGGGATGCCAAGCCGGGCCAGCTCCCTCCTGTGGCAGTTATCAACTCAATGGCATCTGAATGTACACACACCTTGTCATAGGCAGTCAAATTATTTTGATAGGGATTGATTTATGATGGTTTTATAATTTATGACTACACGATGACTAATTTATGTATACATTATGACTGATTTATGACTTCTGTATTATGCTTTAAGGGTGTGGCCATATTTATAACCCATGAAACCAAACAATTTTTTTAAAAATAAACTATGCATGAGAGTTTGGCTGTTTCTAATGTGATTACATATTATTTGGCATTCCAGTTGAAATACATTTCCAACTCTACTGGGAGGGAGAAAGAAATAGCATGGATTTGAATGAAAAGTAAAGATTCTTTTTTATATGGAGATAAATTAATAAACCTTCTCCTTTCTAAAGGAGTAAATAGTATTATTAACCCTTTTCTTTTGGAAATGAGCATATGGAAAACTTATTTAAAGTTTTTAGCCCTTGCAATGTCACCTCTATGTTTTTTATGAATTGCACCACAATTTTAAACATAGAGACAAATATAAACAATATGAAAGATCGAAAGAGAGAAGATTGTATAGAATTAAGAGCTTATTTTTAATAACCCATTAGCACTGGAACATATTTTGATAAAACTATCTGGTATTCAAAGGGGAGTGGTTTCAAAAAGCACAAATTTGTTCTTTTATTAATTGTGGCTAGCCTCCTGTTTATAGTTATATGATTATAAACTGGACCTATGGTGTAACTGCTAGGAATTCACATTTATAGTCATTATCAAATGAATGTGACCCCCATCACCTTTTCAGCCTATAGCACCACCCAAAGGCTTTCTGAGGCACAATAGATCAGAGCAATGGGTATCTTCAGTGCTATCCTAGTCATGGAGCACACTGAGGCAAGCAGTTGTGGCAGGACCTTTAGGGGTCTCTTCCCCTGCCTGTTCTTAATGTATCCTGTGACTGGGAGAGTGCTGCAGATTTCCTAGTACCCTGATCTCCAACACCAGGGGTTGGCAACCCCCAGCCCATGGGCTGGGTGCGGCCCGCGGAGGCCTTGGAACTGGCCCGTGGATGCCAAAATGTTGCCCGCACCCATGCACGCATGTGCACAGCAGCGGGCGACGCCTGCGCAGGTGTGAGGGGGCCTTGCCAAGGCCCCGCAGTGGCTGCGAAGGCACGAGGAGGCCTTGTCAAGGCCCCGTGATAGCTGTGTCAGCTATGGAGGGGCCTTGGGAAGCTCCCCTGCACCTGCAGAGGTGTGTGTGGGGGCTTGCTAAGGCCCTGTGGCTGCAGAGGCATGAGGGGGCCTAGCCAAGGCCCCGCGGTGGCTGCGCAGGTGCGAGGGGGCCTTGCCAGGGCCCTGTGGCAGCTGCGTCAGGTGTGGTGGGGCCTTCCAAAGTGGCGCCACCCCGCGCACATGCATGCACATGATGGCGGGCCATCGTGCGCATGTGTGCACGGGGGGGCAAGCACCATTTCCCGCCCCTGGCCCCCCAGCAACAAAGGTTGCTGACCCTTGTCCAACACCATGGGAAATCTTCAGCTGGGATGCTGCCAGGCTTAAAAGATTTTTTTTGGGGGGGGGTGGCACTCTGTCATGATAGTTACATTGGACAAGGCAGGATTTTGGCCTATTTGTATAGACTTAAGTGTCCCAAAGTTGTTTACTAAGTTTGAGTCTGCATGTGTCTCCTGATCTTCGGCAATGAAAGGATTGCTATCTAATATCAGATATCATTGAAGAAACATATGGAAGTGGGAATGGTACAGGAATATTGTAAAAGCTAGACTTCAATATTTCTATTTTAGAAGCACAGTGAGGCAAAAGATGGGCCATTTCACCTTATAAATCAATATTGGCCTCCTTTAGTGAATGTTTATTGAATACACCAATTAAATTCCACAAAATAAATAGTAATATTTCACAGTATTGTTGGTGGGATTGTGGTGAAATAGGGCCAATAGATCATATGTGGTTGCAATGCCTGAAAGTGGAAGCTTTTGGGAATACAGTAATTTTTTTTAGAATAAAATAACCCATGAAGAGCTGCATCCCAGAGGGGCTTTGTTATTATTAACCATTTTTAAGAGGAGAAAGGCAAATGTTTCACATAAAGAGCTTATCACTATATTGCGGGGTCTGCACAGTCAGACATTACAAGAACATGGAAAACATTGTAAGATCTTTCATTTTGATGCTTGTTGGACTGTGTGTGGGGAGTTGCTCTTACAGAAAAACTCACTTGTACAATCCAAATGACTAGAGCATAACTAAAAAGATGTTTGCCAAGGTTTGGTCTCCTTTTATCTCATCAATAACTGAACAAAAATATTAGTATGGACTTTCGTTGCATCAACCAACATGTTGGGACACATTTTTAAAAATATAACCATGCAATTAAAGAGATATTGTGTGATCATTTTTGAACAGATTGTTGAAATTTCTCCCCATTAAATTAAAAAACAAAACCATACATGCACATGAGTATGCATAATTATCAATTTCAGCATTGTGTGTTTTAATAAGTATAAATGAGTGTCTTTATTTTAGTACATGAATAGATTATGAGTACATTTGTTAGAAATGAATAGATTTAAATAGAAACTAACTGGTGTATTTATATTCTTCCAAGCATTGTTGATGCTGCTGTTGTTCCAGGTAGGGACTACTACCATTCACTCTTCATTGGTTTGTTGTTGTTAATTGCCCTTGAGTCAACCCAAACTCAAGACAACCCTGTGGATGAAACATCTGCAAGATCACCTGTTCTCTATTGTTCTGCTCAGTCTTGAAGATCCAGACCCATGAACTCCCTAATTGAGTCTATCCATCTAGTGTGCAGTCTTCATCTCTTCCTTCTGCCCTCTATCTTTTCTAGCATTATTGTCTTTTCCAATGCATCATGCCTTGTCATGATGTGGCCAAAGTATGACAACCTCAGTTTGATCATCTTGGCTTCCAGGGAGTTTTCAGACTTGATCTGTTTCCATTTGTTTGTCTTTTTGGTCATCCATGGTATCCTCAGCACTCTTTTCCAGCACCACATCTCAAATTAGTTGATTTGCTTCTTATCCACTTTCTTCACTGTCCAGCCCTCACATCCATACATGGTGATGGCTTGGACAATTTTAACTTTAGTGCTTAGTTGTATATCTACTCCTTAGGATCTTTTCTAGTTCTTTCATAGCTGCCCTTCCCATTCCTAGTTTTCTTCTGATTTCTTGGCTACATTCTCCATTCTGATCAATGTTTGACCCAAGGTATAGGAACTCTCTCATTTTTTCACTTTCCTCTTTGTCTAGGTTGAAACGATGGTCATTATTTTTGTTTTCTTTATGTTCTGTAGTAAGCCTGCCTTTCTTCTTTAACCTTCATTAATAATTGTTCCAAGTCTGTGATGTTTTCTGCTATTAGTATGGTATCATCTGCATATTTTAGATTGTTGATATTCCTTCCTCCTATCTTCATTCTGTCTTCACTCATTCTGAGTGTAAGTCTACTCTTTTGATGATATACAAATCGAACAAGTAGGGTGACAGAATGCAGCCTTGCCTGATCCCTTTGCCAACTGGGAACCATTCTGTCTCTCCATATTCTGCCCTAATAATTCCTAAGTATAGATTTCTCATCAGGACTAGCAGATGTAGTGGTACTCCCATGTCTTGAAGAGCCTTCCATAGTTTTTCATGATCTTAGTGTAAATGTATGAAAAAGCTGTAACCCTCATAAACAGTAGGGAAAAGACACACTGTGTGAGCTGCAGCCAATACAAATATCCATTTGCACAGAGATAAACTCCTTAGCCAATGTGGAGGAACATTTTAAGGTAGTGCAAAGAGACAGTCTTCCCCAGGTTGCTCTCTGTTTTCATATAACAAATAATGAGTTTGCTGTTTTGAATGTTTTGTGTATGCAAAGTGCCCTTTTTACAATTTTGTTTCAGGATTTCTTTCTTTCAGTACATTATGAGAAATCATGGGAGTCACTGGAGGAAGAAAGGGGCTAAGAAGAGGAACTGAACAATAGCAGAGGAGTGCCCCTCTCCCAATGAAGCAATATTTATTGAGCACTGCTGGACTGTCTGTTTCTTCAACATATTTTGGGTTTAGAATAACAAGATTTTTATATTTCATTGCTCTTTCTTAAAAATAATGTCTCTTTATCATATATGTAAAAGTTTGGTTTTTATTGTGGAGGATTTTTGGTGAGGGGCTGGGGGCTGGCTCTTAATACATGAGAAAGATGATTGTTTCTTGAATCTTTCCTGTGTACTTTCTAACCTCACTCATTCACTTTCAGTAGATGGGGTGGTAAGAGATGGCGTTTCACGAAGGTGTTTGATAAAAGCTCAAAACAGAGACAAGGAGGGCAGTAAATGTTCGACCAACATTCCATTAAATACTGTAAAATGTAATATAAAACAAATGCTGAATTACAATTAAGCTAAATGTAATACCCCGCTTTTGATGCCAGTGTAATTAACATATCTAAACTAGCTCTTTAGTACAAATTTAATGAGAGCCAGTGCGGTGTAGTATTTATCACACACCCCTTTTCAATGTTGGTGTAATTAACATACCTAAAATAGCTTTTTAGTATAAATGTAATGAGAGTCAGCATGGTGTAGTGGTTTGAGCATTGAATACAACTCTGGAGATCAGGGTTCAATTCTCTGTTCAGCCATGGGAACCCAATGGGTGACTATGAATGAATCACACACTCTCAGCTCCAGAAGCACTTTAAGATTGCCATAAGTTGGGAATGACTTGAAGGCCCACAACTACAACAAAATGTAGTTACAGTTTCTCACTGACTTTCCTTTTTCTGCCATATCCTCGCAGCTAGGGGATTAGTGAACTTTGTATTTGATCTGCCTTAATCTAAGAAGAACCTTACATATATATTTAGTATAAACTTGCTTTGCAAATTGAAAATATGATAAAAAGTAGAAAATATAACATTCTGAAATTAACAATAATAAAGAAGAATCTTGTTATTAGTATGACAAAGAACAGCTAATGGAGAAAGAAATTCTTACATTGTTAGCTTATCACATTTTTTCTAATGTGTATAGGAAATTTTATGTTGCTGACTAAAATGAAATACTTATGATTACAAGGAATTAAATTACTTTCAACATTCTTTTTTGTAACAGCCATCTCTCTTTCCCTTCCTCTTTCTTTGCACACAGTCTTTTCCTGCGTATATACACATGGAACTATTGTTAATTAAGACTGTCTCCATTATAGAGCTAATTAACAATTAGCATAAACATAATTAGCTAACGCCTGACATTTAACTCATTACATTGTTTAAATAATTTTCAGAAATTGCCCTTAGTGGCATTCTGTCATACTGGAATAATGGCAGCACTTTGTCATGTAAATTAAATGACATTTGTGTTGTTTCCTCTTCAATTCATGCACGAAAGGCTTCATTTCTGTTTCTTTTTTAAAAAGCTATGCAACTCAGAATTTAGGGTCATTTTAAAAAATGTGCAACATATGTATTTCTTTTATGTCATCTCAAATCATCAATAATCAGATATGTTCAATGTTAGCAGTCACGATATCAGTAAAACAATCTATCATATATATTAATTCAGAAAAAAAAATCTGTACTTCCCATTCTGTTCCCGTCACCATCTCTTGGTACACTGTCTAACTATTTTGAAATACAACAGATCATTAACTGTTATTGTGAAAATGTATGTTTCTTCTCTAACTGTAAATTCTGCATTTGCATGTCTTACCAAATGAAAGCCAGCATGGTGTAGTGGTTTGAGTGATGGACTACAACTCTGGAGACCAGGGTTCGAATCCCAGCTTGGTCATGTAAACCCACTGGGTGACCTTGGGAAAGTCACATCTTCTCAGCCTGAAGGGAAGGCAATGACAAACCTCCTCTGAACAAATCTTGCCAAGAAAACTCCATGATAGGTTTGGATTAGGTTTGCCGTAAGTAAGAACAACTTTAAGGCACACGACAGCAGCAACAACAAATGTCTTGCCCAAATATCATGTAATCTCTTCTGCATTGCACATTCCCATTATCTTTTCTATAGGTATTGTCATGATGAAATTGGGATGATTATAGTGCTTGATGAATATCTTGAGCATTGAGGAGAAAGCATGAATCTGAGCATAAGAGGTCATTTGAAAGATTTTGGGCAAAAGCAAAAGAGATGCAAGGAAAATAATGCCCATAATCCTGTTGGGCAGTTATGAATATGTAATCTGAAATCACACATTTGTAAGTGCTAGATATTCATGATCCCTATGTAGCCCCTAGTTACTAGGGACTGCATAGACACTGAAGAACTTGCCCAAATTTTACTTACTAGGAAGCAGCTACTGGGACTGAAGAGGGCCATTCCCCTCTTGATTGAGAAATGACAGCCTGGTGTTCCCACCCCTCCCATAGCATCTGTTACGATTGGGTTTTGATATCAAGATCCCTTTGGATTTCTATCAGAAGCCCTAGGTTGGAAAGGGCCTCCAT